TTTTTGGTAATCAAATTTTTTTGGGTTTGGAATCTGTCATGTAAAGAAAAATTGTGTACCAATGATGGCTATATATATAGACACCACATACACCATTTTAATTATTATTATTATTTTTTGGCTGTGGTTTTGGATGAAATTCATGGCATTAATAATTGGGCCTCTCACCCCCTGTACTTTCCCGTTTGGATCCATCACTAAGAGGGTCCCCCACCCCCTACTTTCCCTTCAATAATTTGGTTTCAGAACCTTACAACTAGTTTTTCATTCCAATTATCTACCACCCAAAATACACCTTTAGGATGCATCATTATCCCTCTCCCTCGCTCTCTCATTAAGCGCATATGTATATATCAACATCGATGCTGATAAAGATTAGTTGTGATGTGAAAATTTGGAATAATCCTCTCTCCGACTGGCAAACAGCAAGAGACATTAGGTAAAAATAATATCTGTTTAATTTTGGTTAGTGGAGAAATGGAAATGAGATTTCTCAGCTTTCATTATCTATCCCAAAGCAACCCTCATGTGGGCTGTGGCTTTCAATACAAAGTGAGGGTTTTTGTTTTCTTTTTACCTTTTATGGTTTACTTTTGTTTGTTTCTTTTATGGGTGGCAAGTGTTTGACTTGAGTGGAGTTGTTGTATCTACTCCCTATCTTTCTTATATACACGCATTTGGAGACTAAATTATTACATAAAAAGATAACTCATATATCATCTTTATCCATAAACAAAAGCTAATTAAAGCATCTAATTTTGTACATTGAATTTGTACCATAAAGGGTTGATTTGATTGATTTTAATTTAAATACGGATACATTCATTTTTTTTTGTTCGATTCACTAACATGGGTCTTTAAATCTTTCCAAAGAAAATGAAAAAAAAAGTGTTTTTTTTTCCTCTAATTGGAGGAAGGTACCCTCTTGATTTTGGGTTAATGTCCCATCAAATATGTGCCCCGCCCATTTGTTAGTGGCAGCATGTGAACTTGTGGTATGGAGAGGAGAGGGGTCCATCAAACACTTCTTTCTATTTTTTTTCCTTTTCCAATTCAATTTTACTCTCAATAATATAAATAGTTTGTATAATAATTATTTTTAGTCTCAATTTTGGTACCACACTTTTTTTTAGTTTTATCCAGATGTTTCCTGTTGCAATGGAAAGAGTATAGAGAAATCTCTCCTTACATATATAACATTTTATTTTAATGATGCAGAAATTTAGGACTTTGGTTTCCAATTTTCTTAAGAAATTTAAACATTTTACAACTAACTATGTTTCTTGTTTTTCCTTTTTTTAGGAACATTTTCAAAATTGTTTAGAAATTTTTTGAAACATCAAGTTTCTTTTTCTTGTTCCCATTTCCAATTTTGTCCAAAATATAAATAAGAATATTGTTTTGTCACACTTGAATTCATGGATGTTGAAACCACGCAATTCATTTTTATTTATTAAAATGAAGAAACAGAAACTAGAAACGAGAGAACGTTACCAAACGAGTCCTTAGTGTATCGCAAACATGAAGTTAGATAGAATTAGAATATAACTATTTTTTAATCTAATCAATATAATGAATGTATTAAAAAAAATTTACTCATTTTTTAATTCAAATAGAGATAAATTATCATCTTTTGACTTTTTGTTACTTCAAAGTATAAAGCCTAAATTAAGTTTAAATATTAAGTAGCTATTTGATGACAGTTTTTGAATTATTTTTCGTCTTGATAAATTGACAAAATAACCGGGGCATGCTATATAATTGACAAATCTATAATATATTATATTTTATATGTTTTAATTTTAAAACATATAAAATGAGTTTATAATATGAAATAATATATTTATCAAAATTTTTAATATAATGCTATATTTTAAAGTTTCAAATTCAAAATCTAAAACCACTTAAAACATACCAATTTTGTTTTCAAAATTTTCAATCTTTGAGTTATAGAATTCGAAAACAATTTTAGAAAATAAATCTATTAAAAGTTGTGAATCAGAAAATAAAAAACATAAACCAGAATATCAGTCAAACATGCCCTTGGTACTTTTCTCATCCTCGATTTTTGGTTTTATATGTAATTATTATTTCCTTAAAAACAGTTTGGATTATATGATGTGACAAGCATCAAAAGTATAAATACATGTGATTTGACAATTCATATTTTATTCCATATTATCAGTTTTTCAGGCCTCTCTCTGGTCCTTTTTGAGCAATGATACTATCCTTACAAATTTTCTTTCTTCATTGATGGAAAGATTTCTCATTGTAATAGAAAGTATAGTTGTTTTTGGTACAGCAATTTATTAAAAAAGACAAGATTCGTTTCAAAAAGAAGTATTTGGAAGGGAAAAAAATAAATTGAAGGGAAATATGTGGCCGACTTGAGTGAGTGGTCTAGTTTATTTTATAAATAAAGAGAAAGAAAGAAGTCAAATAACAAAAATAGCAAATAAATATGGGATATTTCATATGTATAGTATAACATTGCATTGTACTTGTAAATATACAAAATAGGTAAAAAAAACCATAATATCTCAGTGTAATATTTGAGAACTCATGCAATATTTTATTTTCATAAAAGAATAAAAATGATGGTTTAAAAATTATGATATTTTTATAAATACATATTAATTTTATATTAAGGAGTGAAATTTCTCTAAAAACAAATTTTGGTAATAAAATTTTTGCAATATCTAGTATTAATTGAATTTATAAAGTAGCTTGATATGAATCCGAGTTAAAATATTGTTTGGTCTCTATAACTTTAAGTTTTGTTTTATTTTGGTTCCTGTATTTTTAAAATATTCATTTTGGTTGGTCAATATACTTTCAACATTAGTTCATTTTGGTCATTGTATTTTTAAAATATTATTTTTAGTCCATATACTTTTTAAAAGTGGTCCTTATCTTAAAAATTTAACAAAAAATTCTACACATAATTAAAATGCTTTAATATAAAGTCATTATTATATTTCAAAAAATATATCTAGTGCAGTGTCAGGTTGAAACTGCAAGAAAAATTGAGATAAAAAATAAAACCAAGAAACCAAAATCATCACTTTTTAAAATTATATGGAGCAAAACAAACATTTTGAGAGCACATGAACTAAAATGAAAAATTATAGGAACTAAAATAACATTTTAAAGTACAAGAAATAAAATGAACTAAGACCTTGTTTACTAACAAGCAATCGCAAAGAGAAGAAATCAGGATGCAATCAATCGGAACGATAATGTTATTCTATTGATGTTGTTTACTAGAAATTTTTTTTAATCGAAATAAAAAATTCTCTGTTTATTAAAACTGTATAAATCAAAATAGGAATAGAATTTATATACCCATTTCTTATTTCGAACTAATTACAAATATATTATTGAATCTTTTTTTTAATTGAAATAATAACTATTTTATTGATAGTAAATAATTTTATTATGATAATTTATTTAATATTAACAAATAATTAATAGGTAAAATAACTTATATCAACTAAAATATATATTTTTATTACAACAACCATCATTTAATATAAAAATTTATTAAAATTAATTATTGTAATATTTAATAATAATGAATTCTATTTTAAAAAATCATTAATATTAATTAATAAATTACAAATAAACTTAAAAATTAAATATGAATTTGTAATTTTTATAATAAAATCACACCAACTAATAACAGTTGTATATATTAGAACAAAAATATTAGTAGTATATATATAAAAAATAATAATAAAAGTGTAAAATAATTAAATAAAAAATTTGTAGGTCGTAAATTAATCATTAAAAAAGAGTGGGGCCATAGTGTAAGAAATGGAAACAAAATTGATAAGATGGTAGAAGATAATGTAATTAATTATTACAAAATTTGAGGTGCATTCCTACCATTTAGTTCTCATAAAAAACAAAATTTTTCATTTTCATTCATGGATTCTAAAAAATTGTGATGGGTACTTTTTGAAAAATGTCGGACTCGGCCCACACACAATACGACCCATTTGTATTGGCCCATTTGTTCATGACTAAAAAGAGTCGAGGCCCAATAACGTCACTCCATTTTTATTATTTTATTTTATTTTTTGAAAGGGCCGAGAGATGAAATCATGTCGCCGAAAACTACATTCGAATATTTAGACGAGAGTAATAACAATTTTTGAAAACTTAGGTTGAAAATAATTTACAATTTTTGTTATCAAGTAAATTATTATTATAGATGATAAATCTCTTACTTGAAAACATATTTACTTAACAAATTATTAATTAGAATTTTTAGTGAAAACTTTTCTTTTACTTTTATACTTTATTCATTAATATAATTTTAAACTTTCAAATTCAACTCATTATAATTACAACAAAATGAATTATTATACTAAATTAATTCACCTAATTAAATAAATAAATTTAACAATTAATTAATTAGTTAAATTATTATTATCAATCTATTACAGTTGAATATTAATTAGGTTAATTTAAAAATTTATTATCAATTGTTTTATTTTTCTTTTTAAAACACATTTTTTTAAGTACACCTCTAAAACATTCATTTGAATTTTGTGAAATATTTTATACAAAAAGTTTACATAGCATTCGACTTGCGTTATGTGTAAAGGGCCAAAAGCTAAAGATATAGGCATTTTCAATTTTAATTTATTATAAAGTTATTCAATATTTTTTATATTTTATTGGATTACCAAAGCTACCGGTTTCAAGACCACATTGCCAACTCTCAAATTTTTGGTCAACCAAATAAGTATGAGATACAAAATTTGAATTTCTTATCTCGAAAGAGAAGAATAGAATATATATTATTTTCAACTTAACTATTAAGACATTTATCTCACGTCTCAAAATTTAGATTCTAACGTGCATATTATACTAAAATGAATTTTGAAGGGTTGCATTATTCATTCAATTAAAAAAGAAAATGGAAAGGATTTTGTACAGGAAAAGGGCACGCAATTTCTGGTAGATAAAGATGCGTAGAGTGGAGTCCGGACTCTGAGCTCCAAATTCGATAGCTTTCATATTCCATCATGCCCATCTTTAAAACCCCCTTCAATGGCTACTCCGTCAAGTTCAGCCCCTTCTACGAGTCCCGCCTCGCCGTCGCCACCGCCCAAAATTTCGGAATCCTCGGCAATGGCCGCTTGCACGTTCTCGATCTCAACCCCACCGGCCCAATTACCGAGCACTTCGCCTTCGACACCGCCGACGGAGTCTACGACGTCTCCTGGTCCGAATCTCACGATTCCCTTCTCGTCGCCGCAATCGCCGATGGTTCCGTCAAGCTCTACGACCTCGCTCTTCCCCCCACATCTAATCCCATTCGATCCTTCCACGAGCATACTCGCGAGGTTCACTCCGCAGACTACAATCCAGTTCGCCGCGACTCCTTTTTGACTTCTTCTTGGGACGATACCACCAAGCTCTGGACCCTTGACCGGCCTACCAGCGTCCGCACATTCAAAGAGCATGCCTATTGCGTCTATTCTTCCGTTTGGAACCCTCGTCACGGTGATGTATTTGCTTCCGCTTCCGGCGATTGCACCGTTCGAATTTGGGACGTGCGAGAACCAGCCTCCACCATGATAATTCCGGCTCACGATTTCGAAGTCCTATCTTGCGATTGGAATAAGTACGATGATTGCTGTATTGCCACGGCTTCGGTCGATAAATCGATTAGGGTTTGGGATGTGAGGAGCTACAGGACTCCGGTTTCTGTATTGAATGGCCACGGGTATGCAGTTAGGAAAGTGAAGTTCTCTCCCCACCGACAGAGTTTGATAGCGTCCTGTTCGTATGATATGACTGTGTGTTTGTGGGATTATATGTTGGAGGATGCTCTTGTCGGGAGATATGATCACCACACTGAATTTGCTGTAGGAATTGATATGAGCGTTCTTGTTGAGGGGCTGCTTGCGAGCACTGGATGGGATGAGCTTGTTTATGTATGGCAGAATGGGACTGACCCAAGAGCCCCCTAAGAAAGGAAATATTTTGCTATTTTCTTTTTAGTTTATGAATTTTGTTACAGTTCATAGATTTCAAGTGAATAAGCCATTTTAATGCTACAGAGAAATGAAAATGCGCTACTTGTTGGAAAAATATGTGCCAATTGAAGATTGAACCGAGTGTGTTATTATAGTGGTGACTTTCTTCAAAATTGAATATAAACTTCCTTTTGCTCTAGAGCTTAAGTTCTTCATTGAACCTAGTCTTCTACGCCATGTATGTATGTTCCTTCAACTGATTCTGCTAGAACATTACCATTGTGTAGAATTCCTGCTAGTGCTCAAAGGGTCTTATCTACTTTGTGTATCATTATGCTTATGTAGAGTGCTGCTGTCTCTGAAGTTGTGAAGGAAATTAGTACGTAAAAATTAGCATATTCGATAAAAACACTGACGTTCTGAGTTCTATTATCTTCCTGCCAGAGCATTAAGTGCAATAGTGCCTTTCTGTAAGATTTCTCTTTCATGGCCATCTTATTTCTGCCCTAATGTAGTGTAAGGTATTGTAAGATTATTATTCATTTGATATGTTCCATAACTCGAATTTCTCTAAGATTTTTACTTGTTTGACATGCTCTGTTAACATAAACTTTATTTCTTTAAATGTTTTAGCTTGCTTTGTGGTATCGCTATCATTGTGCAGTTAATGCATTGTCTTTTGTGATTTTGCATCGGTAGCTATAGATGGTATTCCTGGATGAACGTTCTGGGATTATAGGCTATGGTTTCTTTCATCTTCTTCTACTAAAACCTTTGCCAAGGCTTCATTTGAATTTTTACGGTCTTTCATTTTTGAAATTATTGTTGGATGGGTTACAGTATCCTTGGCATTAATGCTTGTGTGAGCATGAGGTAAACAATTCATATTGATTCCAACTTGAAGTTTTCTGGTTTGAATCATGGGCCGTAATTAGTGTTGTTGGGTAGATCATTTCAGCAGGAGGGTTGGATCTGAACAAGAAAACTAGAATGGGAGCTTAGGGGGGATTGTAAGTTGGACTATTCTAGAAGAATATGGGAGGTTTGCTGGTAGTGGTCTTAAAATTTCCAACTAAACCATACTGGTTTATTCTCGTGGTTCATTCTATAAGCAATTAGAGCTCTGCAAGGATCTGTTTTAAGTCATTCAATCTCCTTTTTGGAGAAGCTGTGGCTTTAACTACTAATGTAGAAACTGTCAAATCTTTAGTGTTGAGTACACTCATTGTCAACACTATAGGAACTGGCAGAGATCATAGAGGGATTTCTTTGCTTATGGATAAGATATGAAGACACCAATTCGAAGCCACTGCATTTTTAGTTTTAGTTGGTGGTTACTATCTAACAAGTTAAACTAATGGTTCTGGAAGCATAAGGCTGAATGAGCGTGTGATTGCTTTAAAGTTAATTTGAGAAGTTCATGCAGCGTTCATGATGCCTTGATCTACCAATTCAAATGAATTTGTCCATGTAATTGTGATTATTAGATAACTGCCATGGTTGCCATTTACCAATCCAGGCAAACCAGACTTTCAAACAGTAGTTACAATTTTGGTGTGTTTTGTATAATTTGCTTGACTGCTGTTTTTGGTTATATCGAGAAGGTTAGCACAACAGTCTCTCTCTTTTTTTTTTTTTTTAATATGTGGGAGGGGGAGATCGAATTCACAATCTCTTGGTTGAAGATATATGTCAATTACAGTTGAACTGCTCGCTTTGGCGATTGGAAGTAGACTTAAGTTGTCATGAAAGGGAAACTCTATCCGGTAAAGATGTGTAGAATTCTTGACAATGTAACCATATGAAATTGTTTGGAATTGGAAACGGAGCAAAGAATGCTGCAGTGCAAGATGCTGGGACTGGGAACTGGGAAGAGCTCTGGAGAAATTTCTGGGTAACCTCAGTCCTCAATTATGGTCAACTGGATTAGAGAGTTCATCTTTCTATTACATTTTCATAAATAACTAACTGCATTGATTTATAAAAGTGAATTAAGATTATATTTAATGAATGGGTTATTGTTAATTTACTTCAATTGAATAATTAATTATTGTTAATTAACTTTAGTGTATCCTATAGAACAAGTGGGCTTCGTCCAAGCCCAAATGGTACATTAGGCCGATTGGACTTGGGCCTAGTCGTTACCGGCCCAATGATAACGACTCTCTCTCGACGCTTGCAAGGATTTTTTCCTTCGGCTTTTTTTTTTTGGCATTTTTTTGTTAACAAGAGGATGAACATCCGAACTTACCTCCTTCAAGAAAAATTTAACCAATATTTAAGTCGATAAACATTTAAAATTATTTGTGTATAATTTTACATTAATTGCTTCTTTTAACTAAAGGATCAACATCAAATTGACCTATCAAACGATTAGATCTTTAAATACTTCTTTTAGTTTTGTAATTATGTTTGATTATGAGTGGAAACATGGTTTGGCTAACACAGTGTTCTGTTGGCAAAACCTAATCCACTCAAAATTAGTGAGAGAGGTCGAGGATATACTTCTTAGCATTTAACTGTTTTTTTTCTCTAATCCAATTTTTCCAAAAAGAGGAAGAAAACACAAGGTCATTATTTTTAGCAAGTTATTTGGCCAAACTAAAATGTTATATGGAACATCCAAATAGCATATGTGAGACATTGTGAGAATATATTAAATGAGTTGCGTCGAGTGCTACTTTACAAAAAAATATATATATATATATATATATAGAGAGAGAGAGAGAGAGAGGGTGATTATTAAGAATTTCTACTTACTTTTGAATTTACTTATCTACCAAATGCAATGAAATGATGCTAGAGTAGTGTTAGTGTCATCTTTTAGCCTAAGTCTCCTAAAAGCCCTGGGGGCATGCTAATCAACTAACAGATCTCTTGAGTTTCAAGTTTTGTCTCCAACAAAATAGCACCTTGGTTTTCGCAACAATTTTGATGTTCGAGGATTATTAATTAGGTTCTTGGGGAAAAATCCATTTTTATTTCTATAATTTTATTGATAAAAAAATAAAATAAAAATTTTAAAAAGAAATAGAAATGTAATGGAATTAGGGTTATATTGGTGTGAGGAATGTGTAAATTTTTTATTTTTTATAGGTTAGTAAATCATTTTTTTTTAAAGGATGCCTTAGTTACTTAACCTAGTTAGAACTAAGGTTTAATACATTATATATAACTTGCTTCAAACTTTAATACATTATATAATAATGTAAACTGATTAGATACCTCTTCAGAACTTTTCTTTATCCAAAATTATAGAGAGTTGATCGATCTCACCATGCCCTTCAAATGAGGGGTTTAATTAAGTTTAAGAGCATCAAAGTTGTTGAAATGATGTTGAGGGAATGCAGTGGGATGACGTAGGAGAGGTGAAGACAAATTAAGACTACAATTATCAGCTCCTCTCTATTTCATCTAATATTATTGGTTACAATTATGGGTATAGCTGTGGCTGATCTTCAAATAATTAACATTGTCTCCGATCCTCTCTGCCACACTTTCACTTAGACAGCATTTAAGAAAGGGAAAGCTGGGTGGTAATTTCTTGAGTGCTGCCTCTGCCACCTCCTAAACCATATGACCAACAATAACTCTCTTTATTATTAATATTATTGTTACCACTCTTACTCTTACTCTTACCGTTGCTGCTTCTGCTTAATCCTATTCCTAGCTGCAGCAGCTCTGCCTCTGCTTCTGCTTCTGCTTCCCAATTATTTCCTATTCCTCGCAACTCATCATCTCTTATCTTTGCATCATCACTAATTATTATTGGATCCTTCCTCTCACTCCGATTATTGTTATTTGTTCTTCTCATCATCTTCCATGCCCTTTCTCCCAAACTACTCCATCTCTTTTGCTCCAAAATTTGCCTATTAATTCTCCATCAACAAACGAATTTACCCAGGTGGATACTTTAAAATAATAATCACAATGGTAATAATAAAGAAACAGAACCACATATAACTATTGCTAACAAGGAAGGAGGAAATAAGTTATTACACACACATATATGAAATTAAATATACCAACTGCTCCCTAGTTTTTTTAGAAACTATTCTTAATGGAAAATACTTGAAGGAGCAATCGTGTCCTCCCTATCATATCAAATGTTTAACAATTAAGAATGAGAAATGCAAAAATATGAGACCCTTTTTAGAAAATAATGAGTTGTCAATTTTTCAATGATAGTGAGGATAAGATTTAGTCCTTACCAGAGTGTCAAGTATTTTTCATTCTTAATTATTTCATTTTTTATTTTTTATAACTATCTAATTTAACCTCAATGTATTAAAAATTATTATTTAGGTTCTTGTAACAATAAAAGTTAAAATTGTTTTAATAAAAAGTTGGTGGATCATTACATTATTATTTTATTAGTATATCTAAGCACTAGTTTTTGTGACTTAGAATTCTAGTTAACACATGAAACTTAATTTGCCCCATCATCAAAATTCGATTCATCCATCAACAAAATCTCATATTCAAATAGCATGATTATGTCAATGAAACAACAATACTTCATATTAACATAACATATATGTTAGAGTACTTAATGTGATAATGTTAAAAGATTAAGAACGAAAATGAAAATTACTTAAAATATTTAGGACTATTCAATATATTTAGTTTATATAAAAAGTTAAATGTAAAATTTTTGTCTTAGGTATAAAAATGAGAGAGTGATATACCTTGAGAACGAGGTGTTGGGTCTGATGTGATATGGGAAGTGAGAGTGAAAACGAGTTCCAACAGCACCAAACGAGTGGCTATGGCTATGGCTATGGATATGCCTTGCCAGTGGAAGATAACGAGAAGAATGTATGCTCATGCTGCCATTATTATTACTGTAATATCCTCCTCCATGCATTGTCCCATTGCATGCCTCTCGTATAACTTCAAAACACAAAACACAAAAACACGACTGAAAAAAAAACTTGCAATGCTATTTGGGATTGAGCATTATCCAAGATATTTACATCTGTCGACATTAATTTTCTATAGAATTGTAAAAAAAAATGGACAAAATATAACTAATATAAACATAATATTAATATTAATCCATTTTAGAGTTATTTAGAAATTGTGGGATGCTTATTTGTTAATTTAAATATTTTTTACGAATATTTTACTTTTATAATATTTTTAGAAATATTTATGGACATCAACATTTTGTCAATATTTATATTAAATTGCGGTTTTGACATTTTCATCGACATCGAGATTTAAAACTTTGACTTAAATCTCATTGGTTGTAATAAATAAATAAATAAAAATAAAAACAGTTTGTACCTTGCCCAGTTTGGTCAAGCTTCTTACTTCGATACATCTGAAAAAGCAACATACTATATGGATTAGGGTTTAGGGAAAGCAAAAACTCATCACATTATTATGGAAAAAAAAGAAAAAAAGAGTAATTTTTTTGGAGTACCTGTAAGTGGCTTTTAACATGGGCAATACTCAGTCCTCTAACATTCATCAGCTGAAGAACCAACTTGGGGGTTGCTCCTACAAATTAATTATTAATTAATCATTAATTCAACATTAACCCACCTCAAGCAATGTAATCCTCTAAATGAATCATAAACCCCAAACTGAAAATTTAAACTAGTTAATTTTAACTCAGGCCAATTATACATAGCTTCTACCATTATAAATAAATGATATATATTCCTTTATCCACACACTTATCTCTATTTCAAGTTGACTTTTTTTTTTTTCTTTTAACTATTTCTCTAAGACTAAATTTACACAAACCCTTTTGAAGAAGTTGGATGGAAATTAAAATGAAATATTAGTTGAAAAGAAGGATTAAATAATTTATAAAAGGACATAGTATATGAAATTATATTATTACTCTCTTGGCCACCAAGCCTTTCCACAGCATGAACAAAATTGAGATGCAGCTCAGGAGTCCAACGTAGGCGAGGCACTTTTGATCTAACATATTGTCTCACTGTTGTCCTCCTTCCATTTCCATTTGATGAGTTGTTGTTATTATTATTAGTTGAAATGCTTCCATATTTTCTTTCTTCATGATCGCTCTCTTCAACCATGGCCTCTTCATTCAAATCAAACAATCTAGATGAGAATGGATTCAACTTTTCTTTTGCTCGCCGTTCATCGTCGTCGCTCTGGTCCCGTTTCCGCCGGTCTCGAAAATTCAATAAGAGGTTGCTGCTGCAATACTGACAAGAGAGAGCCAAAAATATATATATGGCTGTGAGTTTGTTCAACTGATTTATTTTCAATTTTCCAAATATGATACGAGTTTTTTACCATAATCTTAAGAAAGACTCAAAAGGGTAAAATCTAATTAAAATCAACAAAGAAGATATCACATGCTATCTTAAGCACATAAAATTAGGATTAATTTCTTCCATTAACCTAAAGGGCTTAAGATAAATTTGAATACTAATTCAACCAAGAAAATTATATTAGATATATATATCGCAAACTGAAGCTAATCATGAACAAGAAACATATACGTAGAAAAGTTTTGATCTTCAATTTTCGAAATACAGACCATTAATTTGAAGATGATGAGGTGCAGCCTGAATAGCTCAAAGTTATCTTCTCGTAGGTAATTGGATATTCAATATTTTCTGCTGACCCGATTCTTGAGAAGAAGAAACTTCAAGTTCCTTGATCTGAAAGCTGATACCCACTTCAAATATTCAACCTGATTGAACTCTTTTCCATTAGATCTTTAATTAAGATGGGGGAGAGAAAGAGAGAGGGAAGAGAGAGATTTTGGATGTGTACAAGTTACTTGGATTGGATATATGAAGATATATTCTTGGACTTTGATGCACTTTTTTTTTTTCTTTTTGGTACATATAAAGAAGTAAGAAATGACCAATATTTTTGCAGTCCTTATCACTTGTTCTTCTAATAATAATCCAATAATGCTAAGTGGTAGCGTTTAATTTCCACAAAAACTGTTGGAAATATTCATGTGACTGCTCTGCTCTTCATCCCACACCCTTTTTTTCTCTCATTCCTCTCTCTCTCCTTCGACAGTTGTCTCTCTCTCTCTCTCTCTCTCTAACAAAATAATGTGGGGGCCAATCCCTATAATATTAAGCTTAGCTTTTCAATTTTCTTCCTACCTAAACTTGGACTTTTCCCCTTCCAATATGAAGGCCAGGGTTTTGTTTTACGTTTAACTTTAATTTTTACAGTTTATTGTATGCAATAAGCATTAAATAGCTGCCGCTTGACTTGGGATTCTGTCCCTCGAGAAATGGAAAATAAACAAACAACTAAAGATCAGAGAATGTGATATGAGACTTTGGTGCGATGAGAAGCGATAATTCAGTAATTGGAAATTTGCAACAATAGCCTAAAAAATCTTACTAAAATTAAGCATAACAATTTAGGATGATTTGTAGTTTAAAAACACATATTTAGAAGGAGAAGAATTAAATCATTACGAATTAAAATTCAATGACTAAATCATTACTCCTTCGGACAAAAATGATTTTTAATCTAAGGAGGTTTCGATATCTCTTTGAAAAAAATGTCAATTATAAATAACACGACGTTTGTGGAAAAAAGAATGAAATGAAATAATGAGATCTAAAAAAGTCCATGCACGTAATTTAATATATATACCTTGAGAAATTACATTATACATATATACATTCTAATGACGTGATATATTTTGAATATATTTTGTTTCTAATTCCACACGTATCTATAAATATAATAACCCCGGGATGTTATTTATTTGGTTTCGTGTGGGAGTGTGTAAAAAGGCAATAATTAATTAAGAACCAAAGTTCCCCAACTCCCATAGCCAAATAAATTTTTAGAAGAATAATTAAAGTTAAAGGCAATGCTCTATGTCGTAGGAATTGCCCCACGCCCACATCTATGAACTCCAACCTGCCAAATTCCATTTAAGAATTCTATCAAATTCTTGCGTTACCATCGCACATATTTACATCATCCAACCACACCTCTACAATTCATTCATTTATTTATTTGGTAGCTCCAGTTTTGCTTTTTATGTATATACAAACGCCTAATTAATTACAAATACATCTCTAAACTTTTAGTTTAACCAAAAATTTATATTTTTTAGGACTAATCAACCTCGATCCAAGTATTACTTATCGAAATCTAAAGGTCACCATTTTTTCGTTGAACTAAAAAAAATAAAAAAACAACATTTAAGTTTAACAAGGAAGATATCATGTGTTAATAATTTTACCAAGTCATTTCTTTTTTAATTAATATCATAACATCATTTATGGGATGATGTTGTGCTAATTTTTTTTTCCTTTTACAAATACTCTTTTCTTAATTTAAATACTATTTTGGTTCGTATACTTTTAAAATATTCATTTTAGTCATTTAACTTTCCACTTTTGTTCGTTTTAGTTCACATGTACTTTCAAAACATCCCTAGTACTTTTTAGAAGTGACCAATTTAATTCTTATTTACAAAATTTTGACATAATTTTTATACAAAATATAAATTATTTAATACAAATTTATGGTTACGTTTCAAGAAATTACAGGCTAAAACTGTAATCGAAGAAAATGAGAAAAATGAAAATGAAGGGACCTCAATTATTGCCACTTTTGAAAAGTACATTGACCAAAATAAATGTTTCTACGATACAATGGTTAAAATGAACAAATGTTGAAAATGTAAAGACAACTTTGGTCTGTTGTAATATGTTACCTAATCCATCAACTTTGGCTTTTAAGTTGAGTGGTAATTTATTCATACTTAACCTGGTAACAGAGCAGGATGCCCTATTTACTGAACATTTTGGGTTGAGCGATGAAAAAACATTACTACGCAAACGCAAGGACACTTTGAGAAAATATGGTAAATGTTTTAAGTTGGTTGAATATATGTGGTTTCATTACCTACCCAATTGACTAATTATTTATATGCACTTGTTTGTAGTGTAATAATTGGTGGGGAAATAGAAGTAAATGGGTCCCTAAATTAATTCTTGCCACTAAAAAGGTACAACTATTCCTTGCATAATTCTGCAAAATAGCATTATTTATGCTACTGAGTACCATAAGGCTATTTCATATGTATTTACAATATTTGCATGAATTGGTAGCCTGTGTGAGAGATTAATTCTAGCTAGCTGGGGATGTGGGGTTCCTACTTTTTCCCTAAGAAAACACTTTTTAATCATATTCATAAATCTAAACTCAAATCAAAATCCATATAGGGAGATGTTAATTAATTACATCATATATAAACATGTAATTTTTGTTTGGTCACAAATGGTAAGGATATAATCGTTCAAAAGTTTTTGTTATAACATCAAAAACTAATTATTCGTTATAAAATGAGACCTTAAGAAGAAGAGGACTCGTGAACACGAAAGTGAATTTAATTTTAAATCATTCCAAACCAAATATTATGCAATATATAACATATTTCCATAAATTTGAATTATTTGGTCACCTAACTTGAAAGAAATGTGAAAGCATTTTTGTCTTCTTATGTTGTTGAGGTTGTTTGACATTTTTTTTTTCTTTTTGCATATTTCAGTATTTAGACTTCAAGGGAATAATGCTCCATCCCGTTGCTTTGCATTTTATTATAATTATTTTAATGCATAAGAAGCCATCCGATCTTGCATCATTAAGACATCATAGTCTTTTCCACCAAAAAAGAAAGAAAAAAAATGAAGGGTTTAATGTCAAATGAACTCAATAAAATGGAATAAGTTAACAAGATAATGAAGATTAATTAGGGTTTTCATAGAAAATCTTAATAACGCTTTTGAAAGCTTTTTCATATTTGACTGATTTATATAATTTCTTTATTAATTTATTTAGTTTACATTTGTTGTTATCATCTTATTCTCCAAATCATAGAGTTCAACAAAATAATGGCAAATTTCAAAGTAATACGTATGATAACTTTCAACGATGGCATGTTTGAATTTATCAACAAAAGTAAAATAGGTCTTGAAGGAAAAAAAAATGGTTTCAACCCTCCATAAAAATAAAAATTAAATTAAAAAATCGATACAGTATATTTATTTTTTCTGCATAACAGTGAAGCGATGGTTTGAAAATTTTTATTAGATAATAAAATTTTATTAGTTTATTTAAATATTGTATTTCAGTTCTAGCAACACTTCAATCACCTTTAAACTCCGTTAATTAATAAAATAAAAATAGACTACAAATTTAGCATGATAAAAATTAAATATTATAGTCACTGTGAAGTGTAAAACATCAATTACATGAGTTCAATCTCAATTCTTGTAATTGTTCAACTCAAACAAATTATATAAGTAATAACTTCAAAAAAATAATTATGATTATAAATATGCGAAAAATATATAACAAGTCCATTAATGTTGTCAACCGTACCCAATGGATAAATAACTAATGAGCTCTATAAGAAAAAAAAAATAGTATTATGTTTGCACTGTAAATCTACTTGATAAAATTTCTCCTATTGTTTCAGGCAATGTCGGAGATAATGGTAATAATGATTATTGTTACAATCATAGTAGTTTATTTTAACTGAAAAAATTTCTAAAAGAATTAAATACTTCTCATTCATACAAATTGTTTCAACAGAGAAAAAAATAATGAGATTAGAACTCTCAATTCTCTTTGTTTTAAGGTGGAACCAAATGAGGCCAGGTTTTAATAAGAAGGATTTGCAACTTTAGTAATCTGTGTTTCTTTGAAATGGCAATGGCTGTTAAATATGTTGTAAAGATATTGTTTTGTTTTCAGTTGATACAGATAGAGGTGTTCTTCTCCCTTGAGAGTAAAGAGTTTCATTTCATTATTCATCTAAGTTACAGTTCAACTCCTAGCTAGCCTAACTCTATTCCAATCTTTATTATGTGTTAGTTTGAGTACAAATTTATATTCAATCACATTAAATGATTGATATGAAAGTCAAATCCAGCGTTAGAGAATCATATCATAGTCATTTTCGATGAACTATTCAAAACCCCATCGCCATTTCCACACCCCGAGTATTTTTCAATCTCGCTAAAGAGTTTCACTCCATTATTTTTAACATGCTAAAGCGAATGTTTAGCTATTCAATTCTTTTTCTTCTTCCTCTAAATATTAACAATGAAGAGGTTGGAACAAAAAGAAGGCCGCCAGTGGTTTTTACTAACAGAAGATCAAATAGATCAGAGTTCTACAAAAGTAGAGCCTAACAGGTCAGTATCCACCACCCATTCAACCCACAGTATGTACATAAAATTATTGAACAAGTTTTGAGTGCTGGTGCAGTTTTAAGTTTAACCAGATGGCTCGTCGTTTCTCTGTCCAATCCGACTAAATTTGGCTTTACAGTCTTAACTCCATTGTCTAAAAATGGGACCTTTGTACAGTCCCCGCCGGACCACAAAGTTTTCAGGTGGTTGAATCTCTTCCAACCACGTAACTTCTGAGGATTCGGGTCCACAAAATTGGTCGAGACCTTTTGCATGGGAAGAGAGCAGAGGCAATTATAATTAAAAGTAGGGAGCAAGATATCAAGAGGAGGAAACAGACGATACCTGAAATTTCTCTCCTGGGAGACCTCCGGAAATAAGAGCAGTGTCGCCCATCTACAGAAGAGTAAGGCGGTGAGAGAATGTCGAATATTGCGCAGGGAGTTATGGCTTTGAAACAATGAATGTTGCCAGCTCGATCTGGATAAAGAATTGTTGTCCCACAAGGTGCAATCATCTCACAGTCCCTAACAAGTTTTGCAGGTCTGGCTGAGAATACACGCCAATTAAAACTTAATTCTCAATTTTTTACTCCAAAGAACGAGGAAAGAGGACTAAACAACCAAAACCCAGTGAAAATAATGATTTCACATTCTTCCCAGGAATGAACAAAGCATATGATCATTTTTCAAATATACCACTACAGCAAATGCAAGTTACGGATGGTGGAAAAGTTTTTTTTTTTTTTGATAATTGAGAGTTGGAGCTATGCTCTCATATACCACTACAGCAAATGCAAGTTACGGATGGTGGAAAAGTTTTTTTTTTTTTTTTGGATAATTGAGAGTTGGAGCTATGCTCTCCTATACCCAGGGTCAGGGGCACCCGTGCCCACACGCCCTAAACCAAAAAAATTCGTTTTAAGCCATTTATTTGTTTCTTCGGATCAACATTGGGCCTTTGCCTTTCCCCCTGTCTACCTCTGGAGATGTTCTCCTAAGGTAAATCCACAGTGGGCAAGGGTTGAAAAGAAGGCTAGCAAGAAACAGGGTCAGATATTTACTATGCCGGCATACCTTGCATTGCTCCACAAAGTCTTTGACAGCCCTTTTCGTCCCTTAATAAAGATTTCCGAACATAGTACCTCTAACACAATAGCTATATGAACCAATTGTTCTTCCATCAATAGACTGTACATCAAAATGTCATTTAAAAAGAACATAAAAAAACTTATTGGAGTACAGTTTCAACCTATCATTCATCATGACCTGGAAGGCGGATGTTGTATTTGCTTCAGATGGCATTACCAAGAAATTGTAGCGATCCATCATACAGAGCTTTTTCAGGCAAATCTTTCTGCCGCGCCATAATCTGGTGATACCCCAGTGCAAATCCAAGTTTGAAAAAAATAGCTGTTTCATTTAGTTCATCATGACAAGGATTGGAAACTTATCTAGTATTCTTTTGCACTTTTTTCTCACACTACACTCTTGCCAGTGAGGGAAGAAAACGCTTCTACAGGATTCCCTCTAGCATTGATTGGAATTGGATGATTAAAGCCAACTTAAATTCTTCCAATGTTTACATAACAATGGCTTCTATCAATCCACCGAAGCTCTAGCGGCGTCGGCACCCCTTTTTTTTCTAACTCATTCATTCAGTTTATCTCAAAGTATCATTTTATTGATAAAATCCACCCATGCAAGCCGCTCCCATCAAACAATGCAAATTCCGAACTCCTCACCATAAACTCAAATGACTTCTCCTCCTCCTTAGCCTCACTTGGTTCTCCTATCTCTCCCACTACTTACATTCTAATCTCCAGATTGATCGCATGCTTCCCCCTTTCAACAGTTCTTAAACCAAAGGTTACATAAAGGTTCACTTCACTCTGATTCTTCTTGCCACTTTAATAGTTGACCTACTCCCTCAAAATATTTGGCGATGTTTATCTCCATCAAACGGAATCTTTAAACTTCTTCAGTTGCAACTTCCAATCTCGACTACACAACTTCCACTATATTTTCCATCTTCTTCCCTCTTGGCATAAGAGTTCTCATACCAACTGATAAACAATTGAATGGAGTTCAATTCTACTAAAAATACACTTTGACCTTAACTGGAAAGAATATTAACCACAATTCTTAGACATTCAAGAGGTTTAAGGCTCTCCCCATGAAATAATTTCTTTTATTAAAATTAAATTATTTAGAAAAAATAAAATAAAATAAAAACCCTTATAATACCTGATACCTCACTACAAAAGACATCCTTCTATGTATACTCTCCTCCCTAACCAAACTACTAAGATGACCCACTCCCCATCACTAAATATTCCTCCTGACAACTAACTCTCCTACTCCTGCACTTTCCCTCAAGCCTCTCTGTAAAACATATGAAAATTAATTTCTCCTATCTAATTAATACACCTTAGAAAACTAATTCAGTTTTCTTTATAGGAATACCATTAAATGTCAATCTTTTTCATCTCATTTTAGAATTCAAGCAGTATAATGATTGAACTTCTGAATGACCTAGACCTTACTTGAACAGATTTGTTCTATATATTGTACAACTGTATCCCTAAGTTCTAAAAGTGATTGAACTTCTGAAATTTGCTAAAAGAAGCAGCAACAATTCTCATCAAGACATTAAATTTGTATATAAGAAGCACTCACTTTAAAATAAATCATCCTTATAATTCTATGATAAAACTTAGAATGAAAAGGGATAAGCATAAGCATCATTCTCCTTCAGGGGATTAATGGAAAATGTTTGAATCAACTCTTCATACATCAAGTAAACGGTGATGCAGAGCACCAATAAGGCCAGAAAATACCTTATTGAAGGAAAAAATACAATTGGATTATAGATGATTATACAAAATACATCAAGCTATCAATATTCTCCAACTCATTATAAAGATTAGGGATAAACAATTTAAAGAAGACAAAAAACATCATCTGCGTTTGATCATATTAGCACTGCCTGAACTATTCATTCAACGTGCATTGTATGGAATCTGTATTTTCCGATATCACAACAGGACAACCAATTTTTTTATCTTATCTAGAATGGGGCTTCTAACAAGCTTCCGGTGTATTCCATTAGTAAGAAAGAAATACCTTGAGAAAGATCAGTGAACTGAGGTAGATCAAGCCAATCATATGATCGTACGTGTAAAGCACCATATAGAAGCTTGCTCAATACGGTCATTCCAGGATGATTATGAAGTGGAATGATAGAACCTGGGGGCATGCAAAAGATTCCTATCTGCACACAACACAATAAATTTTTCCTGAGCGACTGCATTTTTCGAATCCTTATCGTTAATTGCCCGAGATGGCACTGATGGGGAATAACCAGAAGTAAACTTATCAATGAAATCATATACCGAGAATCTTTCACATTCATGCAAATGTAGGTACTTTATTGTTGATGGATATTGATGTAAGCCATTTCGATCTTTCTTGCTATTAGTACCATTCGGCGAACCTTTCCAACCACGAGCTAACTGTGACTCCTGTTCGAGACCCACATTAGACGGCTTCAGTTCATCTGAAACAGAATTTTACAAACTCATAAATATAAGTGAGTCATCCAACACAAACAGCATAATCAAGGTCTAGCCATTGACATAAAATGCAAATATGTAAACGTGTATGAAAAATGCTTTACAATTGATTTGTGGGACAAACGGATCAAGAAGATGAGCTAACAACTTATTTGTTTACGCACCTAAGAGAGAAAGGACTTTCTCTAGAGCCTCTTCTGACACCGGACCACTGGCAGAAAATGATGCTTTGCAAGCATCATACAACTTCTGAATTATGGGCATACTTTCAGGAGGGCAGACAAGATATTTCTGTTAATGGACTGATCAAGCACAGTCAGAACCTTATCTATCACCAACATTTGGATCTCAATCAGAGATCGAGAATTTCAAGAGCTTCTTATACTCCTTCAGCCTAGAATAGTACTACTCGGTAAATTCCAAGCTCAGTTGAAATGTCAATCCAAAGAATAGTACTAACATTTCTGGTAATTAACCAAACTATCCATATTTCTGCACCATCCATTTCAACATATTACAGTATTGCACAAGATATAAAATTTCTTGAAGGTAACATATACGTTAGTATACAGTATTTTATCATTATTTAAACGGCGATCAAGAGTTGACACAAATGACCGAAAAGGGAAAAGAATTTGGGAACCCTAGCCCTTATTTTCCAATCAATAAATCAAAATTAAGCTGGCCACTATCAGAAATTGCAAAATAATAAATGATAATATCTTGTTATTTCGGCGCCTTTCACCAGAAATCAAACAGAGGAAAAGGTTCAAGTAGTTCCATCTTGTTACGTTTATGAAATTTAAACACCAAAACGAGCGTCGCAGTTGCAATTTAACATTATACAACCAAATTAAAGAAAAATAAAAGGCACAAAAATAGCGCGAAATTTTGGTAAATTGTAACAGAAAGAAAAACAGAAACATCAATGCATGAGGATGTACTAAAATCAGAACCCTAGATTGAAATCGCAGCTTTCACGAAGGAACAGCCAAAGCAACTGAGAGAAGCTGGGATGAAGCAACCAAACAAAGAGAGAAAAGAAGAAGAAGTTTCTCTCCGCCTTGAACATTTAAAAATCAGATTAAAAAAGAAAGGAAAGAAAAACAGGTCGAGCTCAAAATCAGCTGCGAGCAGAACGAAAGAAGAGTTCGGCGGATGAGCTGAGAGAGACGAACCTGAGGAGCGACGGAGAGAAGCAACCGGTTGCCGCAATCGGCGAGTTTTCACCCGTGGGATACGGCAGCGTCGCATGGCGTTTATTCGTAAGTATTAATGTTTTGGGAATGCCACGTTTTAACATCACCAAATTTTTTAATTAAATAAATTTTCCAAACCAAAATCCGTCTTGGTTCAGTGATCCAACGATGACGTAAGCCAAGCCCACCATTTCTTTTACAACCAATTAAATTTCATTCTCATTCCATAATTTAAATTGACTAAAAGTAGTAATTTTAATCCTTTTTGTAAACATTTAATACAATATACACAATTGTAATTTTTTACTATAAATTTATGATTACATAAAAAAAAAACCTAAAATTTTAATCAAATAAATGAGATAAAAATGAAAAATAGAAAATCAAAATGGTCGCTTTATTTAAATATAACTACCATAACCACGATGTGAAAGTATAAAAATTAAAATGAATAAAAATTGAAATTACATAAACTGAAATGGATAAACGAGTATAACTCAGTACTAATTGGTATATATCTCCAACCACCTCTCTCTACGAAAATATAATAAGTAATATTCTCAAAAAATATATATATGCATTAAGAAAAAAATATTTGCGTTAATTCAAATTGTGATATCTACTACCTAGATCATAATAGAATTCTAAACACTAATTAGAAATACTTTTATGGTTTTTATTTAAATATTTTATTACTAACCTCTTTTTGCATTTTTTTTTTATTTTGCTCAGTGGTACAACAAATACAAATATGAAATGAAAGATTGAACCTCCTACCTCTAAAAAAAAGAAGCAAGATACTGCACACATTTATATTTTCTTTACTTAAATAGTTTTTCACATACTTTTTTAGGAAATAAAAACACCAAATTCAAACACACTCCTTAAACCTCCTTTTTAAAATTTAAATCTTGCCATTATTTTATAAGAGCTCT